TGGTTTTTTAGTTCTTGTTTACTGGCCGGCTCATTTTTGTCCCTTTTTCTTCCAACCTTTTTTTTTTAATTTTTTTTTGGGTTAGCATTTTGATGTTTTCTTGCTCTTAGATGTTAAGAGAGTATGTATTTGCTAACTGTAACATATGCGGCCTGGACATGGTTTTTCTTTTCTTCTCCTCTTTCCCTTTTTAGGTTTTTGTTTTCCTCCAGACATCTGAATTAATTGGAATGTTAGTTTTATTGTGGGGTTATTTAATCTCGTCTTTTTACATCCCTATTGCCATGAATTCTATAGTCACGCATGGCTAGTGTTGTTAAATTAGACGAGTTTGGCTCGGCTCGGCTCGGCTTGTTAAGACTCAAGTTCGGTTGGAGTTCGAGGCCTTAATGAGTCGGGCTTGAGTTCATTTAGCTTGTTTGGTTAACGAGTTCGGCTTGTTAAGGCTCGAAAATAGAATTTTTATATAATTTCCTATAGTTCGGTTTGTTAAAACTCGAGATCGGCTCGAGCTCGAAGCCTTAACGAGCCGAGTTCGAGTTCGATTTCAGACTTGTTTACTTAACGAACTGAACTTGGCTCGGCTTGTTAAGGGTTCGAGCTCGAGCTTGAGCAACCTAAGCTCGAGCTCGACTCTTTTACAGCTCTACCATGGCCATAGGAAATTGCTTCCTCGTTTTACCCCAATAATCTGTGCTGTATGGACTTTTCCGATTACTTGAGAAACTTTTTAAATTCTTATATACATTTTCAGTTTTGCGATTGTGTAATATCCACTTCCAAGATCAAAATTATTGGACCATTTTCATTCAAAATTTCATGGTCTGATATAAACATTAGTATTGGAGCATGTGCACATTAACAGATATAAATAAAATTTTATATGTTATGGGTGTGTATGTGTTTAATATTTTAAATCATAAGTCAGACAATGATCATATTACATTTTATAGTTTATCATTGGTAAATTATTATAAATGAACGATATAAGTATAGAGTATTTTATTTACATACTAGTACAACGCCTGTGTATTACACGGGTGCTTGTTAATAATTTTTTCCTTAAAATTTAAAATTAATGAAAAAAAGTGGGTGAAAATTTAAATAACTTTATAAAAATATATATATATATATATTAGTATATATTTAGTATGACACTTTTTATTTGTGTGACTTACTTGTGTTATATTATAATAATTTATTTATTTTATATATACAATATGGATGTCAAATCGAAGATCGTGAAAAGATGATTAATTTGATATATTATATATGTAAAACCAATAAGAAATACAAAAGTTATCAACTTTTAAAATACATTTTTAATTCAATAGCTAATTGAAGGAAACAAATCAAAAGTCAGGGATATATTAGTCATTTAGTGTAAAATTATAAAGAATTAAAAGGTTATATTAGTACAAGTGATATTAAAATACCTAAGTTAGCTAAATAATATTTATAGAATGCCTGAACCTAAATTATTGATTATTAATATATTAATATTATTTGTCCAAACCTAATTACGAAGCATGATTCTTCGCCAAGTAGGATTATGAAGCACCAGAAGCAGCCACGTAGGCTCAGCGCATTCTGAAATTATATATAAGGAGGACGCATTTTGAAATTATATATAAGGGGGATTATTCTTTATAATGATTGCAGTAATCAATTTTTGCAAGCTTGACAGATTATAACCAGTTATTTAGATAAAAAAAAAAATATTTAAGTTATTATTATAACAAACGAAATTTTATGGGTTAGGTTATGCAATAAAAAAAAAAAAATTAACTATTTTTTTTTTTTTTAAAAAAAAAAACATGCTTGATGAGCTAAATAAATAAATAATATTTTAAATAAATTGTTTAAAAATGTTTCAGAATAGAATATCATTTAATATGACTTTATGCTTATTTAGTAGTAGCTATTATGTAATAAAATAAATAAAAATATAACTACTTTATTAATGCAAACTATAATTAAAACAACGGAAAAACAAAAAACAATTATTATAATTTTTTATGAACAATTATATATATATTGCAAAAAAAGGTTGGTATTTGAAAAAGATATATTTAATAAGATTTGAATTATGTAATTATGAATGATATAATATATAAGAATACGAAGATAATAAATATAATTATTTTTTCAACTTTGTAATGATTACATTTGTGCCCCTCAATCTTCCGAGGCTGCGTCCGCCCCTGGGGATAACCCTGGGGTTCTGTTTTGCAGGTGTCGGCACAAAGGAGTCATGCTAAGAAGGACATCGGAGTATACATTCATGCGTCATCGGACTAATCACAAATGGTAACAGTAACAAAAGAACATGGCCTGAAGCATGGACAAATTACAATAAAGTTTTGAAGTTTTCAAAATTACAAAAGTACACCCTTCAGGCTCAAGTTTATCTTACATTGATGGGGATGACTAATACTTCTACTGTACAAGCTTTTGAGATGTTTCACTTGTTGAAGGGAAAATTTATGTAATAAAAAACACAATACCACCAGTTTGGGCGTTCGTGTGATAAGAAAGGAACATAGTTATTCCCTTCCCAATTGTACAGCGTCGCCCAGGACTGCAGGAACATCAGAAAAATACGGCATGTTTTTCTGCTCGAGATCCATGCACTTCTCCCGGCCCGCTCGAATTGGGTCGAACGGCCCGCAACAATTCTCCTGAACCACCAAACCCTGCTTGATGCAACCAAGCCACCGCGAAAACAGAACCTGCTCTGAGGCGACCGGTAGGCGAGTGGACTCATATTCTCGCAGGGCCGAGTTCAGATTCTCAACACCCCATTTCTCGAGACACTTTCCTAAAACAGCCGCGTCGAGAACCGACATGTTGGTGCTCCTCAAGCCGTGAGGGGTCGTTGGGTGGGCTGCATCGCCAGTTAAAACCACATTGTCCCAAGCAATTTGGTTAAGGGGCTCAGAGTCATATATAACATTCAAGAATGGATTTTTCGTTTCGCGTATTAGTTTAACGAGCTCGGGTGGCCAGAAGCATTCGGCTTCTTTTTGCATCTGCAACACCATATCATCACTCACTTTCATGGTTACTGAGTTTCCCTGAATGTCAAAACTTTGTGTCAGTACCTCTAATCAGACAGTTCTTCCTTTAATTTGTTCAACGGTTTCCAGTTTACCAGGTTTTTGTGTTGGAGGAATAGGATTAAAGCCACGTGATTTAAAGACATAAACCAGAGTAACAATATATACCTTAAGTCGAGGCTCTAGTTGGTTAACATACCAAATCCAGTTGATTCTCTTGTTTAACAGCTCATAAAACACAATGTGCGTTTTAGGTCCCAAATGAAAATAAATGCACCTCCCGAGGTCGGGGAAAGCCTTCTTAAGCCCTCGAAAGGTTTCTGAATTTTCATTGCCCGAGCAATCGAGGACCCCTCTCCATGCACAATAACCTGCGTATCTACAAAACATGTGTATTTTTCCTCAATCATATTTCCTTTTTTAGTTTTTCTGGTCAGATCCCAAGTTTCAACTACCAAAATATTATCAATACAGAATCAAACCTTAAATTAAGGTCCGGGAAAAAAATCCTACGTATTGAAGAGAGACAGCCATCAGCAGCAACGAGCAAATCACAAGTAACTTCAACTACATCACCTGTTTCGAGAGTTTTACTATTTACTCTCACCAATGTTGTATCATCAGAAGTATTATATGAGACGAACATATGCCCCCATCGTACGATATCCAGGGGCAATGCCTTGTATAAAAGGCCGTGCAGATCGGACCAATATGCCGCTCGGAAATTGAAGTCCTCGTCTCTTGTCCGTGCACGGTTGATCTTCGTCTCCTTTTCTGTAACTTGGTTCTAATGAACAATTGAAAATACGAATTAAAATAACAGACAGAAATATCTCACTCATCACCTGAAGTATGAATCTTTCCATCACTACATTTGCTTTAGCTACCAACAAAAATCATTTACCATAGCAACATACCAAGCATAAATTAAATTATAAGAACAAAATCACATGGAGATTATATTGTCCGTTACGAAACCATTCTATCGAGGTTTGTAACCGTTATATCAACTATCCACAACGGTTACATGATAATCTAACGGTTACAAATCCCGATGGAAATGTAGCATTTCCCCAAAATCACATTACTTTTGCATGCTGAACAAAAACATGATAATATGCACTAAAGCAATCAATTGAATTGGTCTGCACTGTATGACCTTTACCATAAAGATGGTTGATTTACCTGATCAATTGTGAGGGGCAAGGTGTTGAGGTCGAGGATTTCGGGCCGTTTGAGCCAGGAATGAATAATTTTCTGAGAGAGGGGGTCGAGTCCGAGGCCGGCGCCGGTGGGGCAACCTGTCGGAGGGGAGGTTGATTTCTCGAGCACCACCACCTCCCAGCCGGCGGCGATGAGCGCGTGGGCGCAGGATAAGCCTGCTATGCTGCCGCCCACTACCACCGCCTTCCCTTTCCTCTGCATTTATGACAACTGTGAGTGTGTGATTGTGTGCGTTTTGGTTTTGATTAACCGTCGATTTCCTCTCATTTCATTAAGATTCCAAACTTGTTTGAATGGTCAATTTTAAAAGTGCGATTACTTGTTTGTTTAGTTGATTACTTCAAAAAATGGGTAAGACTATGATCCCGTTACGGTCATTCCATTGCAAGTTGTAACTGTTAGATGTCATATAGATTAATGTTGCATGTGCATTCAACGGCTACAAAATTCTAACAGAATAGTTCTGTAACGGCATTGTAGCATTTTCCCCGACAAAACAACAATAATGGATAATTATGCAGTCAGGGACCTATAAGTTGGCTACACGTGACTTTCTTATTAATCGCGTACTTTAATACACGTACCCGTGAATCTATGTATTAGGAATTTCTTAGTTGTGCGATGCACAATCGACCCATATTACTAAAATGTATATGTTTGAAGGAGATATACTTTTAAATTTAAATGTTTTTTAGGGAGCTAAATGAGATTCCGTACGCGCATTAAAAAAAACACAGATAAAATAAACAAATTATACGGCAAAAAATGAACTAATGTAGGACCGATAAAAACACAAATTCTAGTTTTTAAAATCAAAGATATTGATCAAACATTATTTCTTTGATGACCAATTTACCGTCAAACCCGACACACTTTTTTTTTGGTTTAAAAATTATTTGTGTTACTTGTGTTATTAGGCTACTAATTATCTCAATATTCATTCTGCATGGGCTCTCGACCTATTTTGTAATGAATAATTTTATTTTTTTTTAGCTATCTGCCCAACTATTTTAAATTTTTATAACAACGTCTCATCTTTGAGAAACAATGGCTTACAACAATTTCCTCTTAAAGCTGATACGTTTTGATGATGAATTTAATATGGGTATTTTTTAATCAATAAACACAATTCATTTTCTTTAATAATAATATAATAATAAATGGTGTAGGTGAGAAGATATGCCACCAAACATTTTTTTCAACTTTTTTTAGTGGTGGGCTCCCGCCTGCAAATATGGTCTAAAAAACATTTGCCCAAGATAAATCAAAATTTTCCATTTCACGCAGGTATGATTGTTTTTGGCGAATTTTTTTTTGTATCCAATCACCCTAAGAGAAATGTTATTGAAAATAGTAGATAATAAAAAATATGTGAATGGATAAATAGTGAATTAAATTTAATGTGATGTGTTAAGATGATATGTTGATATTATTTAATTATATTGATAATAAAGAGGATATTTGAGTTATATTAAATTTGAGTTGCATTTTGAGTTAAAGCCCTTGTTTGGTAATTAGTTGCATTAGTTGTTTTCACCAATGAATTGCGTTATCTATTTTGACTAGCGCATTATGTTAGTTGTTTGTAAAAGAGTGTTTTAGTAAAACGGTTTTTCTATGGAGTCACCGAGTTGTTTTTCTTACGGAGCCATCCGCATACGTGGCAAATATGTGTGTATTAAAATACACCACATGTGTTATTTTTATTTTACATAAATAAAAAAATAAATAAAATGAAAAAGTAAAACTAAAGAAATAAAATAAATGATATTGACTGTTATTCTTCTCACATGGTATGGCGCGTTCATCTTCTTCTCACCCATCATCTCTCACCCATCACACAGCAAAAAATACATTGTTATTCTTCTCACACAGTACGTTGTTCTTGTTCTTCTTAAATTGCAAACTTTATAAGGTAACCCTTTTTTAATCAAATCAAGTAAAAGAAATTATGTAATGTTTTTTAGTTCATCCCAACATCTTCGCCGTGCCGCCGCCTAATTCCCGCCCCGTCGTCGGTGAATTGGAGAGGAGAACACCGACCGGTCATCGCGGCGGACAGAGGCGCGGTGACCTTCCGACGCTGGATGTCGCAGAGGAGCTTCTTCTCGCCCCTCCGAAAGCACTCATCCGAGAATCCCATCGATCGGGCATAACCTTCCTAAATCCCTAGAAATTTACCAAAATTGAAACAGGAAAATCCTAATCCCCTTCATAATCAAACAGAAGCTAACAAGATGAGGAAGATTTTGAATCAATTGTACGCACGGTGTTGAGCTGACGACGAAACTGGGAAGTATTTGGGAGCAAATCGCGGGCAAACTCGTCTGGTTCCAAATGCAGATCCGTTTTCCGTTTTATTCTTTTTTTATTTAAAATAAAAATAACACGTGGTGTATTTTAATACACATGTTTGCCACGTAAGAGCCACGTAGGCGGATTTCTCCGTAAGAAAAACAACCCGATGGCTCCATAGAAAAACAACCCGACGGCTCCACGTAGCGGATGTGTATTTTAATACACATGTTTACCTATTTTTAATTAGTTGTTAACATGTAAAATTACTTATAAGGAGATCAACATACTTTATCATAACTAGTAAGGTGAACGTGCGATGCACGTGGTGACAAATATTTTTGGCCGATTAAATTTAGTAAAATAAATTAATTAATTTATTAAACATATGATTGTAGGAACAAAATAAAATGATGAACAAATAAACTTCTAACGTATTTTTTTTTTTTCAAGAATAACATAATGATGTCGTATATAAAAAGATTTAAATAACATATTACAATTCGAACAAAAATATATGAAAAATGAGTCCCTAATAAAAAAAGCCCTAAATAATTAAATAATGACATAATGTATGTTATAGATGCATCGCATAGGTCGGTACGGTTCGGAGATAGATAAATTTCTGAAACCGTACCAAAATTTGGAGATCACTAAAATTCGATCACCAGAACCGTACTAAAAATTCGGTTCGATTCGGTTCGGTTCAGTTTAGAAATTTTTATTTTTCGGTTCGGTTCGGTTTGGTATTTGGGACGGTTCGGTTCGGTTTAATTCGGTTTAGATATTCGGAGATTTCTAATTATTTTTAAAATATTTTTTGAATGACTACTTAGTTATATTTTATTTTTTATATATTTTTTTAATCCAACATTTATCAATACTTCATCAACTTTATTTTAGTTTAGACTAAATTTGTGCAGCTAACATTGAAAATTTAAAATTCAAACAAAATATAATATATTTTTTTATTAAATTAATATTTCTTTAACCTTGCATACCATGTTAGTTTATAAGATAGAATGGGACTAAGTATTGAGAATTTTAAGTAAAGTTAAAATATTTTCTAAAAAAATATTTCTTTAACCTTTCATTCAATTTTATATATTTTCTTTTTAAACATAAAAAATTTGATTATAAATCAAATATTACTAAGCATAAAATTTAAATGAAGTTTAATTGTTATTACTATAATTTATTTGCATTTAAAAAATTTTCATATTCCTGTTGGTTTTTAGACGTGTTTTTGGTTTGGGTCGTTGGCCCCTGTCTCATTACCCTGTTGGGGCCTTAGATTACCCTGTTGGGGCCTTGTAATTTGTTCCTTTTGCACTTTTGTGCTATTCTATATTACCTCTATCGTTCCGAAAAAAAAATTCAAATTATATAGGATCAAAGTTGACATAAAATATATTAACAATACACATCTACTTTTATAACTTGGTTCTTATAATCGGTTCGGTATTGTATGGGACAGTTCGGTTCGATTCTCGGGACAGATATTTGTAAAATCTACAGAACCGTATGAATTATTCTTTCGATTCAGTTTGGTTCGGTTTGGAGAAAATCAATCGGTCAACGGTTATTTTTTGGTTCAAACTGATTTTGGTACGGTTTCGGAACAGCTCGGAATTCTCCGAATCTCATGCTCAGCCCTAGCTGCATGAATTCTTTTGTTTATTTATGTTAGATTCAGGAGTGATTTTATTTCACTGTGGTTTTGACGTTCTCATAAGAAACATTCGTACTCGTTGAAGTCAATATATTAATAGTATTGCAAAATCCTTAATTAATTTTGTGAAACGTTTGCTTTATTCAACACTTAAAAATATTTTAGCCTAACATATGGTCAAACTTCATGATTGTATGATCATTATAAGGTACTTCTACTAACAGTTCATAATATCTATGTGAAATAACTAATTGTGTCATAAAAATTCTTGATATTTTTAATCATTATATAAACTATTACACTAATCTCTCTCTCTCTCTCTCTCTCTCTCTCTCTCTCTCTCTCTCTTGTGTGTGTGTGTGTGTATATTAACAAATTAATTGGTACGTACCCCATTGGGGTGGAAACGAATTTCATCCTCCAAATAAAAGTTAACATTCCAAAATTATGTATTTTTTCGGGGAAACTAAATTATTTTTTTTTAAAATCATCACACCTTACATGAAAGTACATGCTCTAAAGTAATTGTGTATATGATCAAGCAAATACACAATTAAGATTGTAAATATTCCTATAAAAACTCGACATCTTATTCAAACATTCAAAAAGGTTTTGATCAGAATCAAACATTCCTGTTTCAGTGTTATTTATTTGGAAGATAGACGAACTACATAACCTATTATTTGCAAATCATTAAACATTTTGGTTGTTGCATTGATTTTAGTGTTATTTATCATAATACCTTTCACATTCATTCTGATTTGCAATATTTATATGTCTAATTACTTATTTAATGCATTTATTGTCCAACTTTTTACATCATACATAATGCTTCGAAAAATGAAGATAAAAATTCTTTCATGTTTGTCAATGTAATAATAAACAAAAATGAGATAATATTGAGAACATTTCATTTGTCAAAATATTTTAGATGAGAGTAATTTGAATTCTTATATATTATGATACTCTTAGTTATCTGTGAACTTTATTATTATGAAGTCCTTATTAAAGTTTATAGTTTGTATTATATAATATGGAATCACAGTTAATGAGAACTAATTTCTTATAGAGAACAATATTAAATGCTATCAACAAAATAAGTAGTAATCATTTATTGTCCAACTTTTTACATCATACATAATGCTTCGAAAAATGAAGATAAAAATTCTTTCATGTTTGTCAATGTAATAATAAACAAAAATGAGATAATATTGAGAACATTTCATTTGTCAAAATATTTTAGATGAGAATAATTTGAATTCTTATATATTATGATACTCTTAGTTATCTGTGAACTTTATTATTATGAAGTCCTTATTAAAGTTTATAGTTTGTATTATATAATATGGAATCACAGTTAATGAGAACCAATTTCTTATAGAGAACAATATTAAATGCTATCAACAAAATAAGTAGTAATTTTAAAAGAAATTTGTTTCTTTCATATTGGTATTCATACTTTTCTAAGAAAATTCATTTCTTTTCTTTTTTCTATTGCATTTGTATTGTTTTATTTATTTAATATTTTATTCACAAATAATAATTTTTTTTTTGAAAGAATTAGAGCACATTCATATGCATTGCATTTTTTCTTTTATGTGTTTGATAGTACTAATATAGTTGATAACAATTTATTTTTATTATATTTATAAGATTAAAAAGTTTTAAATTTTTTCCACGGTTTGATAAAATATTAAGTAACTAACTCATTTTTATATTCACAAAAAATATTTTCTACAACCACTATGGTGTTTTCCTCAAGTAGTAATTCATTAATAGTTTAACATATAACTTGTTTATTTCTTCTTTTAATTCACATATTTAATATCGGTAATAGTTATACGTTTACATCCATTTGCACCTTTTTTCTTAGTATGAATATTTTAAATCTGTGTAAGAAAACTATACCACGAGCTTATCTATTATTGATTTTTGATAATTAATAAAATTGAGTTAACACGGACTTATAATTGATTATATAAGATACTTATAGGTCCGTTTACTATTTTAAATTGGTATTGATAGATATATATATATTTTATTTTATATCGATAAGAAATAATTATATTATTTTT